TATGTAATTTTACTGAAATCAAGCGCTCATATGAAAATTCCACTGGCACTGCAGAAGCTGTCGATCGATCTCGATCTCTCGGGCAATTGTGGAGCATTTTTAATTTGTGCTCGTGCACTTTTGCCTGGAAAACGGAGCAATGGATTGGATTCTACAGTGGATGGCAGTGGAGTGGAGGGAAGCGACCTTATCGCGCCCACTGTGCACAAATGCACACACAAAATGTCAATTCTGCGCACGTCGCTTCACCAGGCATCCCAATCAGTCGTGGCCCGGCCAGCCACTATATAGCCCCGCGATCCCCACCAAAATCTGGAAACGGAGAAGGGGGTGGACCAACTGGACTCCTGGCAGAGGCCCCATCAACTTTTGCTGGATACTGCTGCCTGGCAGCTCGTCATCATTATCTCTGCGCTCTGCCAACATCACAAATAATATGAGGAAAGCACACAAAAAGGCCAAGACAATCGGGAATCCAAGGAGCAAGGGACTTCTGGCCTGCAAATAAACTATTTCAATCAATGCGTTTGTCGTCGGGCCATCGATCGCATGCCAAATGTAGTTTGGTATCCTATACGATGAGTTGTGGGCTCTTCGTCTTGGGTTTTCGAGGTATTTTTTGGGTGGGGTGGAGATGGAAATGGTGAGGGGCAACACAACGTTTCTCTAACTTTTCGAATTTAAAAGTGCCAAGAAACATAAATAAGAGAATTATATTTAATTAAATATCTTATGAAATGATTAAATTATTAATAAGTTAATTATTGTTAATGATGCAATTAATGCTTTTAAATATGATTTCAATTTCAAATGTGCCGCCATTTACTTAGCAGTTAACTGCTTGAATGCAGTGAACTTCTTGCAAGCAGTAAATCCTCATTCTGTATAGATGGCGCCACAAAAGTTATCGAACCACTTGTGACTTATTAAAGAAACCGATATTGCAAGCAGTTTTCTAAACACCAAGCGCTTAAATTCAAAATGTAAAATCATTAAAAACTATACAGGGAACGCTTAATTAATATTACCAATAAAAACCATGTGTTTCAGAACTGCGTTCGGAAAAGCAAAACTGAAATGTGTTTACACGAAATATAATTAGGCTTAAATTTTGATTGTCATATCTTTAATTAGTTTACATATTTGTATTATCGATTAAGTAAAAAGAAACCACCAAGTAATTTGAATTTGTAATCCAATAAAAGTACTTACATTTTTAACCAGCAAATAAAATAAGTAGTACAAATGAAGTAAACTAAAAATGAATTAAATATTATAAAAGTACCTACGTTAATTCGTTAATAAAGTTCGAAATAAATCACTGGTGGTGTATAATTTATAACTTACCCTTTGATTGACTCATTGCTCCAAACGATTACATTTAATTCCCGAATAGCTTTACAGCAAACTCCAATTAGTGAAAACTCGGGCCATTTCCACCTAATAGCAGTGTACTTAACACCATTCAAAATGCAGCCAGTTCGACGACCCCAAACTCTTTTCCAAAAGGGGATTCTCGTTCTTTCGTGCTTCACTTTTGACTTTCTGACTTTCTGACTCTACTTCCACAGAAAGCGAGCCGTTCCCTGTTCACCTTGTGCTGATGACAACAGAAATTAATAATATTTTGTGCTGATGCCAGGCGAATCGCCAATGAAAGTGGCTGGCCGGCTCTTCGGCGAAAAGTTTTCGGTGCCTGGTGCTTAGAAAAGTATTCCCCACTTGCAGGGCCGTGAGAACAAAACCCGCGAGTCATAGTCATTCAACCCCATCGACTCGAGTTCATTGCGATCGGGTTCAAATTTAAGGAAGTACAAATTGGCAACGCGTCATCATCGAGATAAGGTAACTACAAAATCGCAAAGCAAAACAAAAGCGAAAACACTGCCTAGAAATGATTGGCCAAATCTCTCACTTATGGTTGTGTGTTTATAAACAAAATTTCGGTCTGATTTTTCGCATGTGTCAGACAACTCTTTTTTTTTTGGCGGAGTGCAACGAACGCCACTTGAGTTGTGAATTGTGGCTGCTACTCGTATTTGTTTTGTTTACGCGCATTCGCGGCTTTTGGCCGTCTTATCAGTCGTTTGCCAAAATATATAAAAATACAAATTTTAAGTATTGCGCGTGGTCGTTGTCGGCGGGCAGGTAAATACGCCTACGATATTTCTCGGCTCCGAGAAAAGAGATGAAGTAGATCAAATAGATATTAACAGACATTTTATCTTTGGTGTCGGCTAGACTTTCACTAACTTTAGTATCAATACGTAAATATTTGGCCATAATCCATATTTACATAAGTATAAACAAAGGGAAATTGTTTGGGGGCGGATGGCATTTGCATATTTTAATCTTATCATTGCCAGCACCTTGTGTGTTGACCAAAAGGTGCAAATAGAAAGACCTTTTAATTTATTACGTGTATGGAGACTTTAGAAGAGTCCTTAGGTTTAAAAATTTAATGAAGATTTCAACAAGAAAAATGAAGTTTATTGTGAACCAGTACCATCAGTTTGGATTAAAGCAAATAGGAAATCTTTTAAAATAAATATATATATATAAATATATAGTTGATTAATATAAATTGACTAAGAAATATTGTTACATGAAAGTAAAATTTGAGATATCAGTTAAGTTGATTAAATTGTTAATAAATGCACAACTTATTAATTTAATTAATTTTGAAACAGCTAAGCCAAGGCACAGCTAGTTAAATTAAACTTAATTTATATCAAATACGTCAAAAACTGTTTACTCTCAAAGTAAATAAAGCAGGAAAAGTAGTCGTTTACTTTGTATTGCTTTATTACCCAGTAGTTTCCCCATAAACAAGCTGATAAGATAAATAGGATCAAGAATCGATCTTGCCTCATTTAAATGACAGATGTCATCACCTTTGCCAGCTGATTAGCCCTGATCGATATCGGATCAGTTCTTGGGAAATTGCAACCCATAATGCAATACCCCAAGAACAATAAGGGTGCAGTTGAGATCGTTTTGAAATATTCGCATATATGTATATCTTTTGTGCACGCATAAGGAAGCAAAACTCTTTTTTGCACAATCCCGATGTAGTCATCGATATCGGCGATATTTCCAATTCGTTGCAATAGCTTGACTGATAAGCAGAACAGGAGAGAGGCTGTCCTGTCATCGACATCGGAATGGAATACCCTCTTATCGTGCAACTGCGCACGGGGCGTATGATTAATAAAATCCAAATAAACAAAAGGTAGATACACAGCGACAAAAAAAAAGGGAGGGAAGGTAAGTCAGGGGAGGGGAGAGGGGGACGAAAAGAGAGGCACACCTTCGGAAAGTAAACGACAACTTGACCCAAATTAAAGACACGAAAACTCAGGGGGCGAGAGTGAAAATGTAAGCAAAAGAGAGCCAAGAGCCAAGAGCCAAGAGACAGAGACAGCTTTTACAAATCGCTGCATTTAAATAAACAAAACTACGAGGCGTGCTAATTTTTATGAATTTCATAACATGATTTTAATTTTGAATCAGACAACGCTGCGTATTACGTGAAAGCTCTGCGATGCGTTGCGTTGCCACTGCCACTGCGACTGCGAAGTCACGCATGCGCGCCAAAAGTAAAGCCCGAAAAACTCCCCAAAAATCCGACGACTGCATTTCTAAGGCGAAAAAAGCTAGAGTCTAAACACAAATCGGAGTGGGCAAGGCCCCAAAAATACGGGGCGGGGGGTCGGGGGCTAGGAAGCGGATTGCCGGTTTTATGCGGGCGTGGTGTTGTTGTTTCTTCTTTTTTTCTTTATATAGCTTTTGCTGCTGCTTCTCCCAAAAACACCAAAACCAAAAGCAAACGAAAATGAAAGCGAGAGCACCAAGAAAAAACGCTGGCTGCGCAGTCGATGTTGTCTTTTGATTGGTGTGTGTGTGTGTGTTTTCTTGAGTTTGTATGCGTGCTTTTTGGCTGCCTTTGTGTGACGTCACTCGATCGAGCGAATAACGGTGCATTGAGTTTTTTGATGAAATACACAACTGCATATTTTAACTTTACAAGAAACAACATGTTCTAACTTTAAGGTGGGATTTTAATACATTTACATATGAACCACACAGAAAACAAATGTTTATTTTTTACCAAAGCTCGCTTATTAAGTTTATAATTCATTGTTGTCAAATGAGTTTTCTAAGAATCTATTTAACTTAAATTTTAGCTGGCAAGTAGTTTAAAAAACAATTTTCAGACTACTCAGAGAAAAAACTTAAAAAATCCCAGAAAGAATCATTCAAATTGTGTGTTAAAAAGTTATTAAAAAACTTATACAAAGTTAATTTTTACAAAAAAATAGTTAACATATTATAGGTAAATTTTGCGGAATATTCTGCCCAATATAATACAAAACTCTAGAGACAAATTAAGACTAATTAATTAAAAAGTCATTAAAAAACTTATAAAAAGTTTGTTTTTACAAAAAATATTTAAAATATAATAAGTAAACTTTACAAAACTTTCGGACCGAATAATAACAATAATAAATGTATTTTAACAGAATCAGTTTCATACAAAGTTTCTTCCTAGAAACTTAATTTGTGCCTTTAAAATACGCCAAAACTCACAACCAAAAGCCCAAATGCATATTATTTACGTTTAATACACTTACTTACACTCGGACTTTTTGCCTGCGGCAGTAAAAACAAGAACTTGCCAAGTGAACTGCCTTGCGACGAGAGTAAAAGTGATTGGGAAAAATTTTTGCTTTTTTTTTACCTGATCTTGGCTCTCCGCTCACTCTCATCCACAGGTAGTTGCTTTTGCTTTTGCTTTGCTGCCTTTGCTGTGCTGTTGCTTTGCTTGTTGCTGTTGTTGCTAGTGCTGTTGCTGTAAAGGCAGCGCAGTAACGGCGACGTCGACGTCTTTTTGGGGCTTTAGCGCGGTATGTGTGTTACATGCGCCGTCCGCTCATTTTCTTTTTTCTTCGGCTGCGTCGCTGCGCCAAAGACTTTTTCACTTTGCCGCGCGTTCGCATTTTGTCACAGTTACAATTTACCATTTGTCGGCGACGGACGCGCGCTCTCCAACTCAGTACGACAAATATACAAATCTCGAAGAAAACCTCGCTCAGCTAACGGTTCTTCAGGAGCGCTGTCGTTTCGTTTCTAACACCACCACAAATACCAACCAACTACTAACAACAAAAGGCAGCAGCGTCGGCCCGTCTCGTATAAAATCTGTTGCATCACTGCTGCGGCACTTCAGTCGTTCGAACGCGTGCGGCCGGAGAAGTGCAGTTAACAAATAATACAACAAAATAACAACAACAATAAGAATATTAAAAAAAAATAAATAAATAAGCAAACATGCTGGGCTGCAGTGACCATTTAGGCAGCCTACGATGAAGCTTAAAATATAGTTCATATATTCAAAAAAAAAATAAAGAGAAACGATAAACATTTCCAAAGACCTACTTACCTCAGTGCAATGCTTTAGGCCTTAAAAACAAAAAATAAACAACCAATTTTAAATTAAAATCTGAACTTATCTAAAAACAAAAAAAAGCAGCCAAAATTAACGCTTTACAAGGCATCAAGATTTTACCCTCCTTCGCGCAACTGAAAATGCTGAACATGGAGTCGCCGCAGATGTACGCCGATGCCGTTCAGACATTGGCCCAGCTGGACCTCAAAAAGGAGCCGCCTCTGCAGCAGGCCACCATTGGCCAAATCACCCTGACGGCCATGTCCACGGCACAGCAGCAGCAGCAACAGCAGCAACAGCAGCAGCAGCAACAGCAGCAGCAGCAGCAACAACAGCAGCAGCAGCAGCAACCTCAGCAGCAGACAACCGATGCCAACAACAATACTTCCCAGGATGCCGCACTCCTTGTTAAGCAACATGCCATGCATCAAATGCAACAGGTGGCCGCCTTGGGCAACAACAACAACCTGCTGCAGAAGCAAATGCTGCAGCAGTACACCACCCAAACGGATTTGGACGAGCTGACCACCCAGGAGATCACGCTGGATCTGCAGCACCTGATAGACGATCAGTTCAGGGACACGGAAACGCTGGGCATCTTCAGTGATATGGTGACCAGTCCGGGTGGCCTGTCGGCCACTCTGCCGCCCAGTGGCATGGTTTCGGCGGCGGCGAAGGTCCTGCAGCAGCAAACCCTGCGGAATCAGCATGGCTATGGGGGCAGAGGGGGCGGAGGTGGAGGAGGAGGCGGCGGCGGCGGTGGAGGAGCCCTGGCCTACATGCCACAGCCCGTGCATGCCACCTACAACAATTCCAGCGACGAGAACAGCTCCGTGGGCTCCGATTCCAGCACGATCAAGGAGGAACCCATCGATCCGGAGTACAGACGGCATCTGCAGGAGGCGGCCAACCAGCAGGTCGCCTTCATGGGCAACGGCGGTGGGCTGTACAATGGCTATGGGGCGGGGGTGAACGGGCTGTCGGGCGGGGGCAACCCCCTCAACGGCGGCAACACCACGCCCAGCAGCAACGGCAGCAATGGCAGCACCGGCAGCAGCAATGGCAGCCAGTTCACCAACCTGACGACCGCCAATGTCCTGGCCCATCACAATCTGCCCCACTTGGCGGCCGCCGCCGGAGCCCAGCACCTGTTGAAGCAGCACAGCAAGCTGCATGCCCAGCAGCAGCATCAGCAGCACCAGCACCAGCAGCAGCAGCATCGCAAGCACAGCAACAAGCACGTGGACAAGGGCACCGATGAGTACCGCAGGCGCCGGGAGCGCAACAACATTGCGGTGCGGAAGAGCAGGGAGAAGGCCAAGGTGCGGTCGCGGGAGGTGGAGGAGCGGGTGAAGAGCCTGCTCAAGGAGAAGGACGCCCTCATCCGGCAGCTCAGCGAGATGACCAACGAGTTGCAGTTGCACAAACAGATCTACATGCAGCTGATGAACCACGCCAATCCCGAAGTGAGTCGCGTGTGCCGCAGCTTCCTCAACACCAATGAGCATTCGCTGTAGCAGCAGATACAAAGAAAGTGTCCTTTGGGCATGCGATAGTATGTGTGTGTGTGTGACTGCCTGAGTGTGTGTGGGTGTGTAAGTGTGTGCATGTGTGTGTGTGTGTGAGAGAGACTCTGTCAAATCAAAGATTCAAAATGCTGTGTGGGTAGCTCGTAAGATCCATTTTCCTTCTGCTATTCATTGTTTTCAACTTAAGCAATTGGTTGTAAACGATGCAGCCAGTAGCCGCTGCACCGTTTACAGCCATCTGCAAAACTCTTTTGCCACATACCTCTGGCATTCCTTTGTACATTTTCTTCTACTCCACCCCCTTGTTATCATTGTAAAACATATTTTTGTACTTAATTCTTAACGACTGTAACATATATTTCGCACATTTTTTATACATAATCTTATACATTATATCTTATCATAAAGTTAAGCCAAAGAAAAATGTTAAAAATATTTATGTAAAAAAAAATAACACGCAGGAAAGAAAGAAAAAAAACATGGAAAATACAAAAAATCAAAACTTATTTATACACATCTAATTCAAATTTGTACATTACTTGATTTTGGTGTGCGGCTTTGCGCTATGCTTTATGCCACGCCCACTTCCACTTCCACTCCCACTCGCCCAGCCCCCTGCTTGAAAAAAAAATAATAAACACAAAAACATTAGCAAATCTTTAGTTGTTAAGCCGATCGCCCGGAACATCGAGTAACCGCTTTACCTGCACAAGAACCCTCGAAGGAACCCCTCTGCCCGTAATTAACAATTATCTAGCGAACTCGCCGAGTTTGCCGGGAATTCGCTTTTGAGAGAGCGCAGAAGATATGAATGCTATTAATTTGTAAGGCCAACGCAATGTTCTCATTTTAATTTATATATTCGTAAATTAAATATACACAAACAACAAAGAAAAACTGTAAAGCAAATCTAAATAAATTAAATAAAATTTACAATATACAAAGAAACTGTTTGTGATTCGTTTTTATTTCATTACATTATATATTTCAGCAGTTAATTTTTTTCTTGCACCTCTAAATTTCAGTACATTAGTTGGATTTATATGTGTAAAATGTATTTTATATTTTAATTGACTTCAGGAACTATAATTTGCAAAGCACTAAAACATCAGAACAGGTTTATTTTACTTATAAAAGAACTTAATAAATTTCATTAGAATATGCACAGAAATAAGTTTTTAATTTAATTTTTTTTTAATTCACTGATACTAATTAAATAATTCATATTCAAAGCATGATATTGGAAAAATATATATTTATCTTCAAAACCCAACGTTTGATCCCAATTATAGTCATTAAGTGCCTTGTATAGTTTATTGTATTTTTTTTTTATTTTTCCACAATTTATGTACCAAACTGCAATTAGCCCAAGACACAATATGAATCGAAAAGCCCTGCCAAAAAATGTCTAATTAAATGTCGGCCATATTTAGGCGACAAAACCCATCTGCTGGGGGCCAAAGACTAGAAAGAGACGCATCATGCCAGCCCCCGAGCAGTGAAAGAGAGGGGCAGTGTCTCTCCTTTGGGCCGTCGTCTTGCGATGGGACAAATAAGACAAGCCAATGCATTTTGGGCTGCCAGGCGCGACAGCCGCGACACCAGGGAAGTCGAAGGGAACACCAGCACAGCGGACCCCCAGACAATTGCACGGCGGCCCGTGTTGACACAATTTGACAGTAAGACAAACCCAAAACGAAAAGCAAATTTATAAGCGACAAGGCGAAAAAGAATTAATGCAACTTGAGAAACCGACAAATTAACGCGCCAGAGAAAGCCCAAACAAAAGGCCCAATGAAAATCTCTTACAGAAAAAAAAATAAAGCAAAACAAAACGCATGCCATGCCATGCCGACCTGGGGCAGATAATCACTTACAGACATTTGGGTTCGAGCTAAGCCCTTTTGGGCTAAAACTTTCTTTCCATCTGTATATGTATCTGTATCTGTATCTTGGTCAACTGCTGCTGCGTGCGCCCAATTTGTCTAGCTGCATTGTTGAGTACTTTGATTGATGAAAGCTAATTGCGCATGCACTCTAACCGAAAACCAAAAAAAAAAAAAAAAGTGAAATTGCTTTGAACTTGTGGGTGTCGCTTGGTAGCCACAAACCCCAAAGTAGCCCATACTTCAATTTAAAGCTCGACTTTGATAAGGGTTCTAAGCGGCTTAAGGTGAAAGTTTTTCCCACTGTTTTTACACCCCTCCTTCCATCCCCCCTTAAGTGCAAGATGCATCTGGGTTTTGGCAGGCGGACAAAAATTGCCGCACAATTACTGCCAAACTAAGCGCCAAGCACTCGGCGCGGCCACGAGGCGTATGAGTTATGAGTGGCGGCAGCAAAAAGTGATAAATTTGCAACTGCAACCATCAGGTGAGGCAGCAAACACACTTTATTCTGTCTTACCTGTGCGACGAGCTGATAAATGCTAATTACCGCAATAAAAGAGGCTGGGGAGATATCTTGACGGGACTTAAATCAGGAGGATAAAGTATTATAACGCCTAAAATTTATAAAAGCTGTCTTTATAATTTGTAAAAAACCAAAATGTTCTTAAAGTTAAAACATTTCAGGAAATTATATGATTAGGGCATTTCTATAAATCATTAAACTTCCAAAAATATTTGCAATTATATGATTTAACTTATCAAATGCCAATAAGTTGGTTGATTACATAAATTTTTTAGTAAACAATTCAGAAGCATTTAGTTAAACAAATAATAATAATGAGTACATTTCTAAACAAAATGACAAGCATTTAATAAAAAGAGAACATCAAATAAGCGTATAGTGAAATGGCCAGAAGCCTTCACTTAAACAAATAATAATAATAAGTACATTATTAAGCAATATGACAAGTTTTTAATAAAAAATTAATCATTAAATATAAAGAGTAGTTATTGGTAATTAGCAAATGAAAACTACCTCCCCTTGCTTAAAATATTATTTCAACTATTTCAGAAGTGTTTCCTAAGATGAAAAGAAGAATGTGTAATAATATTTTAGTTAAAGTTAACTTCATCTCTAACAAACGTAAACCTGTTAGTTCGATTTTAAATTCAGATATTCTGTAATAAAAATTTATAGATGTTGATAGTACTGTACAATTATAATACTGTTGGCTTTCTGAGCTAGTCACTGACTTAATCCAGTTACATGAGTGGTCTGAAACAATTTGAAAAGGGATAGTGAATAAAATGAAAGATTGGACCCCTTCGATCAGCGTCACTTTCGGTTTCCTCGGACCGTTATTGAAGTGATAAGCTCCAGATCCCGATCCAGCAGATCTCGATTCAGCATTCAGTTGTCATTCAATCCATCTTTCACACTCCAGTTCCACTTTGTCCGCGCCGCATTGTTGTGCCTCCGCGGCGCTTCATCACCGACTTTAGCTTTAGCTGCAGCGACTATAAAAACCATAACGGAAAAAAGTGGGTTACTTCATTTTTATTTTCATGCCCCAAGACGGCGAAAGAGATGGCAAGAGAAAGACATAAAGCGAGTGAGAGAGAGAGAGAGGGAGAGAGACCAACTTTACATCTATCTATCTATCTTTATTTTTTCTTTTTAGCACAGATTGAGTAATAGTTAGTTGTTTGGCTTACATCTTAGAGCCAGGCTTCGTTCCCTCTCTTTTGTGTTGGTATTCGCCTGGCAACGACGATCGTGTGGCCAACACAGAGTGGTTTCACTTTCTATGCCGACTTCGACTTCGACTTCGACTGCGACTGACTTTTGCTATCTAATACAGCCACCGCAACAACAATGGGCCATCCAAGTACACCGAAAGAAAATTTGTTATATATTAAACTATAGAAGTTTCACAGACAAATATAAAACACTAAAAACTCTTTAATATTTCGAATGTTTTATTTTTAATATAAAAAAAAATAAATAGTAAAATCACATTTTAAAAGAACTTTAAATTTAAATTGCAATTCATGTTGTGAAATTTACCAATAGTTTTAGAATTAATTTAACCTAAATTTTTGGCTTTCGTTGTAAATAAATTTTAGCTATAAATTATTTATGTTTATAGATATTTAAAATATTATTATATTATGTTTGGTTATATTTTAGGAATGTAGTTCCAACTATGTATTTAAAGTATCAAATGTAATTGTGTTTAAAATTGTAACAAACTGATGTCGATATCTGCAAAGAATAGGTATAAGAGACATAATGGACATATTTTTTCCATCAAAATATTATTTTTTTCAAAACCTTTTCTCGCAGTGCAGCAACAACAATCGCTCACCTCTTTTTCTTCGCGCTTTGTTGTTTTCTTTCCACAATACATTGACTATTTTCTTTTCGACCGACGACGCCATGTTGGCCGCAGAGTCTAAGACCCAGACTCAAACGCAAACGCACAGGCAAACTCGAGCTTGGAGTCTGAGATTCAGCCACACTCTCGGATGCCTGTATCTGTATCTGCATTTGTATCTGTATCTGTATCTGTATCTGTATCTGAGTGTGGGGGTTATGTAATAGTCACGACTGCTGCTGCTGTTGTTGCTGCTTTTAAAGATGCCTTTTCTTTTGTTGGGCCGTCTGCTGCCTGATGACCAAGTTAAGATATTATGTTCGTTATGTTGCGCTTATTAACGTGGCCCACAAAAATTGTTTAGCGTTTTGTTTTGCTTAAACGAATTTTCCGTTATAAATCAAGCGTACCACGCAAAATAGAGACATTTTTGTGCGGCCGACGTCCAGATGGTAAATCATCATCATATAAATTGTTTAGCCAAAGTGACCCACAGACGAAAATGATATCCCTTCTCCCCCTTTTCGATATTTTCCTTACGCAACTTGTCGAGTGGAAATGCAATCCATCTACCTTCTCTCGGTCCAATCAGTCGGCACTACCATTTGAAACAATTACACAGCTCCAACGGACATTAAAAAGAAATAATTTAACGCATAGTAAAAGTATCTTTGGGGAAAAGTAACGCACCCTTAGGGGAATTTAAAAGCAATTTATGGGCCTAGTTAGGCATTTGCACATTAAGAAAAAGAAGGGAGAGAAGGTAATGGTATTTGAAAGGCTGGAAACATATGCACATCAATATTTTATAAAATTGAATAATTCGTTTTTATATAAACACAAATTTATATTAAATTAACATTTTAATAAGAAATAAAAGTAATGGCTATGGTATGATTTAAAATTAGGTAACAAAGTAAAAGTAAATTACTTTACCAAGGGGCTCAGATCACACAGCACAAAAATAATAAGTTAATGACTTAATAAAAATTGTTTTTGGTGTTCCATATCATCATTTAATGTTTGATTAGAAATAAATGTATGCCAGTTGCAGCTGCAACTGAATCAATCACTCAAAATTAAAACAAAATGTTTGCCAGATGCATAAAATATATAGTAAAATAAATAAGTAATGTAAATAGAACACTCCCTTCAATAAAAGCCAACCGAAAAAAATAGCAAAATCAAATGAAAGCAAGAGGAAGAAGAGTAGGAAGAGAGCGAGACAAAACAAAACTAAACTAAATCTAAACCACTCACCCAAAGACCCATTGGCCTACTTTTCTTACAGAGCCCAGCAACAACAATAAAAATATAAAAAATGCTAGAAAATAATCTCAACGCCAACACACGCACACATGGCTAATCAACGGGTGTCTGTGTGTTTGTGCGTCAAAATTTACAAGGGGCGCCCTTTTCGAAAAAAGTCGAAAAAAACGAAGACGAAAACGAAGTCTTCCAAGAAAGCTGCGCGCGCTTCTATTTTCAGCTGCGATGGCGTCGACGTCGCCGTCTTTATCAATCTTGCTTAGGGGAGGGGGTGGTGAGGGGGTGGTAAAGGGCGGAGGGGGAAAGGGGAAGCGGTACGAGGGGGCGGGGCCGTTACTTATCTTAGGGCAAGACCCGCGTCCGCTGAGCGAACGAGATGGCTG